TCCCCCCCCCCCCCCCCCCCCCCAAAAAAAATGAAAAGAAGGTTCATTTAAGTGTCTGCACACTCCTCCTATCAGGAAACAAATGCAGTGATGGATATGACCATTTACAACTTTAAATTTTAAAATTTATTTTCTTTCCAGAATATAGAACTCTTTTCCTTATAGGAAACCTTGACTAGTAAATTAAAATACCAGAAGACCAGATCAGAAGAAACAAGCCAATAAATATTCTCCAGACTACAGACGCCAGTCATAAAACAAGTTTTCCCAGGTACAGTCCCACAAAACTTTAATTCCTCTGTCAAAAAGGCTCTATCTGCCACAACTAGAGATCTCTATCCACAGCACAGCTGCAGAACCATCCAGCCAAAATTAACTCCTGCCTCACCTGTACCCCAAAAATAATTCTCAACTCTAATTAGTTTCTCATAGAACTTCAGTTGGATCCCATCCAACTGGATCCCAGATTTCCTGGATCTCTCCCACTTCTCCAAAAGACACACAGTTAGGTTAATAGAAAAATAATTAAAAAAGACAAGAGAGATAAAATAAAAAGTGAATGATAAATATATTGCAGAAAGTCTCAAAGTTCTTCAGAGACGGAGAGAACTCTCCAAATGTTTTGCTACAATTTAACTCTAAAATGCGTTTAAACTTGTCAGCTAGAAGGAGCATACAAATCTGTGCTTCCCTGACCTGAGGTAGTCTTAATGAGTTGTCCCTAGCAAAAAATAAATAAAATGGCAAATTGTCAGACTGAAGAAAAGGTGCCCACTACCCTGGATTTCCCTAGCAGAATAATCAGTGACCATTTAGCATCTACAAGGGTCTAATTGTGCCATTTGATTTTGACTTCATTAAAGGGATCATATTTATCTAATGCAGGGATGGGCAATTATTTCAGCTGGAGGCCCACTTAACAAGTTTTAGTGAGCTGTTGAGGGCCGCAAGGATATCCCTACCCCTCAACAGATGCCCCACTCCTGATTGCCATCTTGAGACTGGAAGTCTTGTCCCTAACCCCTGACCTTTGCCACCTGAAGTCCCTCCCCTTGTGCCAGAAGTACTCCTTTTGGGAAGGGAGGGGCTTGCCATCTTGGAACCCTTATGCAAAGGAACTGGGCAAATAGGAAAGGGGGGAAAAATAGAAACCATAAGACAACTCTACCATAAGGAAATCTGTTCTAATAACCAATTTAAAGAGGCTGGTCTTCCCAATTTTAAAATATTGCAGCTTCTGCACTTCCCAGGGGGGCTAAAATGTTGTTCTTTACGTCTACCTGCCAGAAGGGCTTAAAATGGCAAGGACAATTCTGACATGTTTCTGCCCTAGATACATGATGGCCTAAAGAATTCATGAAATAACAATGGTGTTGTAAATAAACAATAAAAAACCAAACAAAGATCATGGTGGAATAGACACTCAGACTACATACAGTGGAAAGAGAGAGAGAGAGAGAGAGAGAGAGAGAGAAGGAATGAACAAGATCACCAGTTCAAAATGTCTCCTGCTCTTGTCTTGTTTCATCTGTCCATTTGATATAGGCCCAGACAAAGTAATCCAGTGAAGCAGAATGATGGATTCCAGGATACAAAATTATTTGTCCTAAAGCCTACTACCTCTCCAAAAATCAAACTCTCCTACATAATAGGAAAGCATAAATTATACACAGTCTTCTTAGTTCTCCCATTGTATCCCTGCTTAACATCAGATTCCATGGCTGCTTGCACTGAACTGCTGGCAAGTGACTTCCTCCCAGCATCTGGAGTGCTTAAAATGTGATATCGGGTTGTGTTTTTTTAAAGAAGAAAAATACAGGAGGGAGGGGGAACCTTGGAGCATTCATTGCAGAGAACTGAAAAGAAATGACCCTCGATGAATTGGTTTTGACATCTGTACTTCCCGAGGCAGTGCATGAATCAATACTTACTGACCGACTCAGCACAGGCCAGGTTGGGAAAGGCAGCAAGTGAAAACACACACACTTGTTTTGCATTTGCTAGTGATACAAATCAAATCAGTCCCACTCTTTCATTTTTAATTATTAAAGAAAAAAGAAACTTGCCAACAATACGATAAAAAGTCTCTACTGACAACCCCTTCCTCTCACATACACATACGCATGTCAGGTGAATGCGGTTGCTATGCTCATCAGATTTGATGTGCTTTAACACAATTTCATTTTCCTACGCCACAGGAAAAAAACAATATAATAGCACCTGAAGGCAGACCAACATGTATGGGGGTGGGGCAGGACATATTCAGTCCAACATAAATCAAGATTAAAGTGCCAGGCACTAAACCTTCATTAGCAACATGCTCAGGAAGATGAGACGCTGTCATAACTGTCATGAAGGACTTTGAGTCACTGCCTTCTTCCCACTACCATGGGCACTAAGAGAACTGGTACCCACAGCAAAGTAGATGAGGGGAACCCTACCTAATGAAGCCCTGTTATATAGTTCTGGTCATTGGATCTCTTTCAAGAGCAGAAACATAATTTGTACAAACAATAAAAAAACCACAGAAGCAGAGAAGACAGGAATCAACACTGACCTACAAAAAATAAATATTCATTGTAAAATGCATTAAGTAATAATAAAGAAAAGGAAGAGGCATATCTTTACAACACAGGTTGTCTCATATGGTCAGCAATTGTAGATTTCTTTGATCAGTTTAGGCCAGTAATAGGCAACTGGTAGGGGGACCACGGGAGGGCATGTGCCCCCCATGACAGGGCCGTCCCTGCTGCCGACACCACCAGTGGCTTCTGCAGGTTCTGGCCAGCCCCGTCCCTACCACCAATGCCACTGGCGGCTTCTGCAGGTGCTCGCCAGCCCCATCCCTACCACCAATGCCACTGGCGGCTTCTGTTGGTGCTCGCCAGCCCCATCACCACTGCCAACACTGCTGGTGACTTCCACGGGTGCGCCCCAGACTCAGGCACCAATCACCCATGAGGCCAATCATCATCTTGCATAATTTTTTAAATTAAAATTAAGCTTGTAGCTGCTCCTAATTGAGCTGTGATTTTATTAGCTCTCAACCTATGCAAAATCATTTCTGTTAGTCAGAACTTGGACCAAAAAACTCAAAACCAGAAATGCTTGCCCCTGCTGCCTGTCCCCCTGACACTTGTTCCCCCTGCTACCTTCCCCCGGCAGTCTCAGGCCCTCCAGTTCCCCTTCCCCCTCCATTACCCCACAATGACGGCTACCACCACAGCTACCAAAGTGGGCTGGGGAGATGCTCCATGCCCCAGGGCAGGCAGGGATGGAGTCTACTGAAGAGTAGGTGGCTGGGGGGAGGGGGGGGATGGCATGTGGAGGGAGTGGGGAGCCTGAGGCAGTAGGGAAGGGGAGGATGGGGAAACAGTCTGTGGGTGGGGTGAAGGGAGGGGAGGGGAGAGGCATCAGTGAGGGGCAGCAGCTGCAACTCCTGCCACAACACCAGGTCAGGGACGGAGCCAGAGCCAGAGATGCAGCATCCACCACGTCCCCCCTTCCACACCACCTCATACTTGATTCCAAGACTAGGGGCTTTTCTGCCATGTGTTAAAATGGGGGCAGAGGGGAACCTCATCTTGGAATCAAGTAAATTTGGTACCTTAATTGTCCAACTGAAAATTCAAGGGGGAATTATTCTCCGGTATTTCCTTCTATAAGCTTTTTGAAGAGCATAGTTGCATATTCTTCTCCAGCTCTCATCATTCTCTCTCACTGCAGCAAGGCTTTGGCTGAAAAGGTTGTGGTTTGGAGAACAGGTGTATTAAAAAGTGATCTGATTATTTATTATACACAAGACAAGTCCAAAAGATCTAGTTTACTGTGTTTTCTTGCCTTACTGCCAAACACGTATCACATATATCAGTACTAACTTGAGACCAAGGCCCCATTGTGATACAGCACAGAGTAAACAGTCCTTGAAGTGCAGAGCTTACAAACTAAATATGCAAGACACACAGAGTGAGAGAAAGGAAGCACTTTTGCCAATTTTACAGCTGGGGAACAGAGACAGAGGGAGAATAAATGGCCTGCCCCAGTGTCGCACAAGAAAGTTGCTGAATATCCAGGAACTGAAAACAAGTAGAAAGGTCCTAGTCCGGTACTTCTATAAAAGGGCTGTGCCTCTCAGACACTCATCCCCATATTTTTTCTTGTTTTCCATTCTCTCTCCCATTTGAAATATGAAGAATATCAAATCTCATCTTCCACTGTTTTTCCAGAAGAACTTCTTCAGGGTTTCAGATGTGTAATTGGAGGAGATTTTGAACACTGAACAAAGGCATCTTTTCTCTAAGCATTTTATACATGGTGGGTAAGAATCCCTTCCCCTTCAATGCTCATTTTCACTCTCCTCATCTGAGAGACCTAATCAAAATTACTATTTCATCAATCACCATTCAAACCTTCTTGGGGAGAAGGGACTTAAATTTTTTACCATAAAAGGAGAGAGAAAAAGGACACTGAAAAAAAATATCATGGATTCTAACTGACTTGAAGTGGCAAAACGCACAAACCCTTCCTGAATGTGCCCTTTCACAAGTTCCTATTAAATGTTTCTTAAAACAACTTCATGCATCTCCTCATATACCCTTAGTAAATCTACTAATCTCTGCCACTGCTTCCCAATCACTAAAGCAGGGGTCTCCAACCTTTTTAAGTAGGAGATCACCTTTGGCATTTAAAAGCAACCCAAGACCTACCATGCACCACCGCCACCCCTCACCCTCACCTGCCCAGCAGGTAAGTCTGTGGGGAGGGAACAGGGATGGGGGGAGGGCAGATCAAGGCAAGGGGAAAAAAAATTATTTGAGGGCACGCCTCCCCAGCAGGTAAGTCCCAACTGGCCAGGGCACCACTCAGTTTACCCCTGCTCCTGCCTATGCAGCACTGTCCCTCACTGCAAGGGCCTTGATCTATCCCCCACCCCTTCCCTCTCTGACTGACTGACCTGCTGGGCTGGGGCACATGCGCACATCCATGCAAACACTCGGCCTCCCACCTCAGCCTCGGATCAACTCCAAAAGGCTTCAAGATCTGCCTCAAGAAGCTCCGAGATCTACCAGTGGATCGAGATCAGATCCACTACACTAAAGTCATCAGCCACTCCACAGTGTCAGTAGGTAACCATCTGACCACAGGGACAGACACACGCACCTGCATACAGCTGGTTCCATCAGACTGCATTTTCTTGCTTCTTGACTATGTATATTGACAGCACCTTTACACCAATTCTAGGCTTGGAACTCATTCCTGAAGTCTCCAAGGAAGAGATATTACCATACTTCCTTTGGAACATGAATCCTTACATATTCCTAATGCCACCTTGATCTTTAATATTTATAACTCTGTAACAAAACAATTCACAGATAGACCAAACTAATATAAAGTGGGTCTGGTAGAACTAGTCAACATTTTTTTTTCTTTTTTTTGGTAAAAAAAAAAAAAGTGCTGTTATTTGTCTCAAAATTTGGAATATTGAGTATTGATGCACAAGTGTACATGCTCTAATGATACACAGGCTTGAATGTACTCATTTGCTCATCGATATAATTCAGTAAGTAGCCTTTCCACAAAGTACTTGTGTGTGCAAACATCAAACTTCCACCTCCACTATTTGTGCAACTAGACAAAATTTTTAAAAAATGTAGTGAAATGAAATACAATTTAGAGTTTGTTAATACTTGCCATCCCATATCTGCTTACCCCTAATGAACAGCTGGTTTGACCATCACTAGAAGTCTGTACCACTGTGAGCTTCACTTGCATGAATTTCAGGTTCTAAAAAGGTACAGAACTGGTTTGAATTAACAATTAAAGTGCCATCTCTATTCAATTTTCTTTTGCCATCCTATTAGGTGTGTAAAAAAACAAGGGTATTTGTTTTAGGATTTTTTTGGCTGCTTTCATGCGATAAATTATAATGCCCCTGCATGCATCATGAGACTAACCTGTTGCTTTTGCATGCTTTTGTAGCATAACAGAAAAGAGAGACAAGACATCCATTGCAAAATAAATTGCAAATAAAAGAAATACACTCCTGAACATTCATATACTCATCATTAAAATGTATCATCCCAGGCACTAACCCAGCCTTAACCACAATGACCAACAAAAATAATAAAGGAAATTAAATTGGTCTTCACCACCAACAAAACTTATACACCACCCAAGGCAAGTATGAGCGTGTTGCAGCATATGTATTTTACTCAGAAGGTTTTGAAAACAAAATCCAGTGAGTGCCAAGCGCTTTGCACTCAACAAGATGACAGAAACTGTTCAGCATGTTGCAGAATTCCAAAGATGCAGAGACCAAAAATACCCAGGCCAAATACCCATCTCCCCTCCTCTTAATTTCCTGTCTATCCAGTGTGGAGTTTTGCCACCATGCTAGAATGAGTTGATCCTATAGCTCGAGCTAAAGGTAATGCCCTGACTCTCCCTCTCTCTCCTTTTTCTCCCTATATGTAGCAGTTTGATTATAGGATATTTATAAAGAAATGAAGGCCTTATCTACACCACTTAGTGCTGAGGTCATGAAACGAGCTCACCTACTCAATCCTGTTCTCCTCCGCCCATCCTTGTAACCTATCTAGG